TTTTTTTTTTTTTTTTTTTTGGTTTTTCGAGACAGGGTTTCTCTGTGTAGCCCTGGCTGTCCTGGAACTCACTCTGTAGACCAGGCTGGCCTTGAACTCAGAAATCTGCCTGCCTCTGCCTCCCAAGTGCTGGGATTAAAGGTGTGCGCCACCACTGCCCGGCTCTTTCTTTCTTTTTTAAGTATTTTTCTTTTTCTTTTGTTTTGCTTTGTTTTTGTTTTTAGAAATGGAGTCTCACTGTGTAGCCCTGGCTGGCCTGCAATTTGTTATGTTGACCAGGCTGGCTTTAAATTTACAGAGCTCCACTTGCCTCTGCTTCCAGAGTGCTGGGATTAAAGACATGTGCCACCACACCATCCTAGACTTCTTTTTTTTTTTTTTTTGAGTAGACTTATTTTTCAAGTGTGTGTGTGTGTGTGTGTGTGTGTGTGTGTGTGTGCCAGAAAACAACTTGTGGGAGTGAGCTCCATCTTTCCACTAGGAGGGTCTGGGATTGAACTCTGCTCATCAGCCTTAGCCACAAGCACCCTTACGTCCCATACCATTTTGCCAGACCTCTAGACAGATCTTGAGGAGGTAATCTGAAATGCAGACTAAGTTCTGTTAAAGGAGAATGTTCTTTGCACTACTGTCTACATAAAAGATCGGCTATGACATGAGGTTCAGTGGTTAGAGATGGCAGATAGGCAGCCCAGAGCAAGTACAGAAACGGAGACAGGAAGTGGCAGGACTCTAGGCCCTGGTTAGATGCAGGATCCTGCAGAAGCAAGGCATGTGAGGGCCTTGGGAGAGCCCTGGGCACTGGTGAACTTGTATCCTGAAGGGCACAGGCATTGCACAGGATGGGAGCTGTCCTCAGCACACTGCATGCAAACAGGAGAATATCTGCTAGGGTGTTTAAGGGACCCAGGCTTAGTCAAGGGAGAGGGGGGAGGCTCAGAATGGCTGGGGTTCATGTGCTGGTATGAAGACTGGGGCTGCTAGCTAGCCTTGTGGTCTTCCCTCTACATTGAGGTGGGGTCACCGTGTTCCTCATCTCCTGGCATGTGTGTGGTCACCTAATGAGGTCTATGCCTAAGGAACCCTGTGTGACCCAGACAGTAAACACCAGTTCTCATCATTAATTCCCACGTGTTCCTACCCTCAGATGGCTGCCAGAACATTCCTCCTCTTCTTGCCTTCTGTATACAAAGTCAGTTCCTTCCCACAGCTGCAGGAGCAGCTGATCCCAATGGGACAGGGCGCTTTTGTCTTGGCTGGAGCGGGAGATTTGGGGTAGACAGTTAGAACCAGATGACTAACAGGTTTCTGCAGAGTCTGGGGAAGAGAAACATTCTGGATAACATCTGGTCCATGGCAGACACTGTGGGAGGAACTGTGGGCTACAGCCCTTAGGAGTTTGCCTTCTCTGTAGCTGTTCCCCCTCTGTTGCACTGTTTGTGCTCTCCTCCTTGCAGCTCGGACCAGAGACCCTACATTTGACACCATGGACCCTTCAGACTGCGAGGACTCCCCAGGTAGTTACTCCCCAGGTAGTTACTCATATTCCCCTGGCTGCTGCTTCTCCTTCTCCTTCTCCTTCTCCTTCTCCTTCTCCTTCTCCTTCTCCTTCTCCTTCTCCTTCTTCTTCTTCTTCTTCTTCTTCTTCTTTTTTTTTTTTTTTTTGGTTTTTTGAGACAGGATTTCTCTGTGTAGTCCTGGCTGTCCTGGAACTTACTCTGTAGACCAGGCTAGCCTTGAACTCAGAAATCTGCCTGCCTCTGCCTCCCAAGTGCTGGGATTCAAGGCGTGCGCCACCACTGCCTGGCTCCTCTGACTTCTTAAATCTTGTGGCCTGGGTCTTCATACTGAGTGCAGAGAAATTGAGGACAGAGAAGGGGAGATTCATGGGGGACTTTAGGTACTCTCTAACACCAGCTCTTGGGGTCGGGTGTCTATACCTGGCTCTGTCCTAGGGGAGTACAGCCAGAGACTCACCTCCTTCTTATCCCGCCTCCTCAGGTGGGACCAGGGCAGCCTGGGAAGCCGAGTTTATGCTTAGTGTTGCTCAAGGTCCTCCAGTCTATCCTCCTACCTTTCTCTCCCTTCCATCCAGCAAGCCGAACCTTCATTGAGGAAGCCACTGAGTATCTGCAGCGCACATTGGGCAGGGAAGACCTGAGGCTGCTGCTAACTGAAGATGGAGCCTGGGACGCTTTTGTGGCTGAGGCTGAGTTGTCCAGGTCACCTGCAGTTAAGGACTTCCTCCCCCTTTCCTGGTTTCTCTCTTCCCCTGCCTGTGGATGGTACAGCCTCATTTACCCCGTGTCTTCCTCACCCAGTGCCCTTGTTCACACGGACGGTGCTCTCCACAGCATCTCCATGGATTCATCCAGAACTGTGCTTTGTGAACGTGCTGGTGTCTCTCAGTGAAGCTGAGAGCCATCTGAAGGCTGGCCCACACACTGCCCTTAAGGCTGACTGGGGTTTCTTACTCTCTTAGAGGTCAGAAATGACACCAAAGCCCCACTATACATCACATGGTACAGACTGAACTCTCTTTAATATAGGAAATGCCTGGGAACAGAAGTTGGATCCTAGATTTTTCTAATTTTAAAATATTTTCAATTATGATACATTGTGGGGAATGAGATCCACATCTCAACATGAAACATACTGTTTTTTTTTTTACACCTAGCAGATATCTTAACTATCTATGCACATTTTAATTTTTTTTTTAAAAAAGATTCATTTGTTTTATGTGTATTTGTGGTTTTCCCTCATGTATATCTGTGTGAGGGTGTCAGATTCCCTGGAACTGTAGTACAGACAGTTGTGAGCTGCCATGTGGGTGCTGGGAATTGAACCCTGGTCCCTCTATGCTCATTTTTATGTCCTTGTGTATGTCTGTGACTCGTCCCCCATCCCCGATTCATCCTCGCCCCTGGTAAATGTGCCAGTGGTTACAGTGTCACCCTTGAGTATGACGGCATCTCTATTGTATCCAATGCCTGGAGCTCAGGACATTCTATTGTTTTTTTCGACAAGGTCTGATATTAACCTTGAACTCAGACATAACCAAAGACCATCTTGAACTTCTAAGCCTCTTGCCTCTACCTACCAAGTGCTAGAATTATCGATGTGTATCAGTATGCCTGGTTTTATGCGGTGCTAGACCCCAGGGCCTCATGCATGCTAAGCAAGCACCTTACTGTGCTAATCTCCACCCCTCAGAGAAAATCTTTTAAATGTTTTTTTAAGACTTATTTATTTCTATTTTATATGTCTTTGTCTGTGAATATGTGTGCATGTGGTGCCCACAGAGACCAGAAGAGGGCATTGGAGCCCACAGAACTGTAGTTACAGGCAGTTGTGAGCTGCCATGTGGGTGCTGGGAATCAAACCCGGATCCTCTGGAAGAGCAGACAGTGCTCTTAGCTGCTGAGCCATCTCTCTAACTTCAAGGGCAATAGCATCTTAAATGAATAAGCAAACAAACAAACAAACAAAAACAAGATTTATTATATTATTTATTTATTTATTGAGACAGGGTCTCTTCATATAGCTCTGATTATCCTGGAATTCAATATGTAGATCAAGCTTTGAACTTTCAGAGATCTGCCTACCTCTGCCTCCTAAGTGCTGGGATTAAAGGAGTGTCCCACCATGTTTGGCAATTTATTAACTTTTTTATTGTCTGTCTGTCTGTCTGTCTGTCTATCTGTCTGTCTGTCTTTCCCTCCCCTCCCCCACCCCCTGTGCGTGTGTGCGTGTGCGTGTGTGTGTGTGTGTGTGTGTGTGTGTGTGTGTGTGAATGTGTACATGTACAGACCTATGGAGGCCACAAGAGGGTGCCAGATTCCCTGAAGTTGGAATGATAGGCAATCCAACCAAACTCCAGTTCTGTAGACTGTGGACCACTTAACTGTGGAGCCTGTTCTCCAGCGCCATGAAGAGCATCTTAACACAACTTTTACCCATTATCCACTACTGACTAAAGACCATTTACAATGACTAGGTGTTCACCATCGAAAGAAAGATTCTCTAAGTCTGTGAAATCCCTCCTGAGTCACAGTAAGCATGCTGTCACCTAGGCAGACTATATGTCATGGCGCTTATAACAAACTTTCTATTTTCATTTTTTATTTATAGCACTGGGGATGGAATCTAGGGCCCCATGTATATTAGGCAAGTACTCGATGACTGACTTAAATTCCTGGCTAAATTATCTCTCTTAATCACTTGATGCCTGTTACAGAGCTGATGCAGACACTTTACATGAAGCCCTCAATGCACTCACAGAAAACATGGCCGTGGAAGACCAGGACAGGCTCCAACGTGACTTGCAGGACATGGAGAGGTTCATGGATGTGTTTCCCCAGGTGAAACTGGAGCTGGAGGGACACATCAGGAAGCTCCGCACCCTTGCAGACAAGGTTGACAGGGTTCACAGGGACTGTACCATCTCCAAGGTGGTGGCAGGCTCTACCAGCACTGTGTCTGGAGTCCTGACCCTGATTGGACTCACTTTGATACCTGTGACAGCTGGGGTCAGTCTGGTGCTCTTGGCAACAGGGATGGGTCTGGGAGCAGCAGCGGCTGTGACTAGTGTCTTCACGGGTATCATGGACTACACAAGTAAGTCATCAGCCAAAACGGAAGCCAGCCACCTGGTGTCAACCAGCATGGTCAAAGTGAAGATGGTTGTAGGGGCTATAGTTCATTCAGGACCCCAAGTCTTTTCCTTATCTGAGAAGTGCTGCCGAGTCCTACAGTGCATCAAGCAGAGCATCTATGCCATCAAGCTTGCCAAAGTCAACCCTACCTTAGCAGCTTGTGCCAAGCAGCTCATGACCATGGGGAGCATCTCTGCCCAAAGAGATAAGGATGTGGATGAGGCCTTTAAAGGCACTGCCCTGTCAATGAGCAGAAGAGCCTGGATCATGAGTATAGCCACCACAGGTGTGGCCCTCATTGGGGATATGATCAGCCTTGTGAAAGAGTCCAAGAATTTGTACAAGGGCGCAAAAGCAAAGTCTGCTGAGGAACTGAGGCAGCAGGCTCAGGGGCTGGAGGAGAAACTGGAGGTGCTTATCCAGATCTATGACGGTTTGCAGTCAGGCTCAACTCGGTAGCATGCTTCCTCCCCCAGAGTAGTGGAGAGGATCGGGAGGTGTTCTGGATAGAGACTGAAGCATTTCTGTGAGAGGGAATCAGACCCAGGAGGTTCAAGACTTAGGTGTTTGTTCTTTTCACAAACTTTGTTGTGGTTTTATTTGTATGTATATGTGTGTATCTGAGAATGTGGGTGTATGTGCCCTCAGAGGTCAGAAGAGGGCACCAGATCTCCTGGAGGTGAAGTTACAGGAGGTTGTGAACTGCCTGATATAGGGACCGGGAACTGAATTCATGTCCTCAGCAGGGCAGCCAGTACTCTTAACTGCTCAGCCATCTTTCCAGCCAGAGTTTGGCATTTTCTCTAGCTGAGCACTGTAAGGTCAGTGCTGGTCACGAATGGAGTAAGGGAAAAGAATGGGAGCCTGAAACAAGGGACCAGGGGGGACTAGAGAGTGCGGGGGTGGGAGGGAATAGTCGGTTTGGAAGTAAAGAGCTTTGGAGGCTTGAATAAAGAGGGTTGTGCGGGAGCAAGGAAGGAGAAAGCAGGGAATCTGACTAGCTGGGAGTAGGAGAGAGCCAGAGGGAGAATTCTGGATGTGGAAGAGCCACAGAGACTTTCTAGAATGGCAGTGGTGGTGGTGACAGGTGGGAGTGATGGCAGAGTGGGCACAACAGTTGTCAAGGGGCTAGGGAGCCCTCGAGGAAAGTGAAATTCCATTGGCAGTCTCTAGGGTGTGCTGAATGGTGATTAGTTTAGGGCTGGGGAGTGACCCAGATTGGGCTGACAGGTCAAGAGACTTTGTGGTGTGTTGAGAGTAGCCAGCCTGTGGTCAAGAGATACACCTTCTCAGAGACACAGCTTCCTCATGAGTTGGGGGAGGCTGGGAGGAGATGAACAAGGCCTCCTCTCTGCTCATCTTCCTCTTCCATCTTGTGTTCTATATAGACTTTAGCCCAATGAATTAGTCTTGGAAAATGGGGCATCCCAGACTGAAGGTCCCAAAGTCATAGGTAAGGAAAACAAAACATTAGAGCATGGTTCAGGATGTGTGATTGAAGAGAATCCACCCTCATCTAACCACCTAACTGCTAGATTCGAAGCCCCTTCCACGAGGTAATGTATTCAGCTCAGGGATAGAGCAGAGCCTTGTAGGAGGCACAGAGGTTCTTCTGCTATGGATAAGCACCAGGGGAACCAGGAAGGTTAGCAACAGGATTGTTCCTTCAAAGGAGGGGATACATAAGCTGTTATGGTGTTTGAAAGATTGCAAGCAGACATGGTTAATAGTTTGACCTTTTGTGCTATTTTAGTGTCTAAGACCACACCAGAGTCCCCCCCTAGATCCTGACTGTGAACTTCTCCATCTATAGAACCCATCTTTATGAAAGATGTCACGTGTACAGAGGGAGTTTGATGTAGTCCGGTCTTAAGCTTTATTGTGCACACAGGACTGAGTTAATTATCACCACGAAAGTGTTCACTGAGTTGTGGTGTGCTTCCATATGCCTAAAATAAATGACTTGGGGCCAGACTCCTGAAGTTTGAACCAACACTGGCTACTTAGTTGTATCGACTCAAATTATCTTTCTTGCCTCTTGCAGGTTGTTACTTTACCAGTCATGGTGGCCGCAGGGAATCCTGCACAGCTTGTCCTACAAGGCAGCACTCTGTCCTCAAGCTGGCTTCTCCCAGTTTACTCATGCTGAATCCTCTTGCTGTTTCAGTAGTGTCCCATGTGGTCACTCCGAGGGTTGGGAGTCATTAAGTGGCAAGTGGCCAGCCTTGGTGGGGCATGGGTCATATGTGGATAAGCATGGCCTCGCTCCTTGCCTCTTGGTTCTGAAGCATCTTTGGAAACACCAGGCTGCCGGGGAGGGCAGAGGCCTAGTGGCTACAAAGTCCTGTTCTTCCCTTGAGTATAGAGTTTCTTAGGGCTGAGCACGGAAGTACTTCTGTAACCCTAGCACTTGGAAGGCAGAGGCAGGCAGATCTCTGAGTTTGAGGTTAGCCTGGTCTACAGAATGAGATCCAAGACAGAAAGAACTACATAGTGAGACCCTGTCTCATCCAACACTTCCAAAAAAAAAAGAAAAGAAAAAAAGAAAAAAAAAGGCCTCTTAGGTAGTGGAGATTTTCAAGGGAACATTCACACGGGACAGGAGGATTTTCTAACTCTGGCCTCATTTTGGCTCCATCCTCTCCCCTAAGTATCTTTGCTGCTAATCTCTTAGTCCTACTGGAGTGCTGAACTCTAGCCAGAGCCTTTGCTGGTACTCAGGACACAATGCAGAGGATGCAGAATCTGGGTAGAGAGGATGGGGAGATGCTCTGTGCTTCTCAGGATCAGCTCTGGCATTTCCCAGATCTCCAGCTAGCCAAAGCTTGCATGTGGACAAAACTCCAAAGTACCTGAGCAAGGCCGAATACCAACAGCTGGGCATTGGGTATGACTTCAGTCTTCATGGTCCTGGCGTGATCAGTGCTCAGTCATTTTACTCTCAAGTTTTTGCAAACTAGAGTTCAGCAGCTACCCTTTCTAAGCAAGGTCAGCCATGTTTGGGGCTCCTGGGTACGATGGGTCTGGGGTACATGGCAGAGCTGCTCCTCCCCTTCTCTCTCCCCAGTCTGTGGCTTCCCTGCGACTTGATGTTACTAAGGGAGGTTGGCCCTATTTCTCTATGTAAAGACAGACGAGATGCTGCCTCAACATCCCTGTCCTGGTATCCATGGATCCGAAGCTACATGTAGTGGGGAAACGTCTGCTCCAACTTGGGCTACCAGATCTGGAGCAAGTGAGGAAATGCTATTGGATGTCAGAGTACATTCTCAGTGACTGTGCCTTGGACTCCAAGGTAGGGCATGGTAATGGGTTCTGAGCTCTGCCTTAGACACTATGTGGCTTTTTTATCTTCTTAATTCCCAAGCCTTTCCTCTAGCTTTCTGCTGATTTAGGGTTACTTAGATGTCATCCCAACACATTTCTTGTTTTCCTTATGAAGTACTGATTTTGTCATTTGGCTTGGTATCAAGAGAGCTGGTTGACACACACCAAGAGGCCAAGAGCTGAATTATCTGTGCTAAATAACAGGATCAACTTTGGAATGGCAATGGAGTATTGCTTCAGGCTGAGGGTGTTAATGAGTTCTTGCCTTTGTTTCCCAAGACACATCGCTGTTGGACACTGGCCATGCCAGAGAGGTTAGCTAGCCCTTGTGTCATAGATGTCCCCATTCCTTCCTTTTGAGCCACACTGGTGACACTGAGGCTGTCAATCAAGCTACCTGCCAATCCAGAGGTAGAACTCTCCAGCACCATGTCTGCCTATCCCCTACCACACTCCCATCATGATGATCGTGGACTAACCTCTGCAACTGTAAGCAAGCAGAAATTAAATGATTTCTTTGATAAGATGTGCCATGGTCAAGGTATCTCTTCATAGCAATAGAACACTGACAACCCCCTACCCTGACCATGGGTCTAGAAGATCTTCTGCAGCTTCCAAGGGCACCAGTGTCAGCTGTACACACCAGAAGCTGAAGTATGATGACATCTGGGAGAGGGGAGAATGTGAAAGAGTTACTACAAGGTAAACTGAGGACATGCGCCCTTTGTGGCTTGTGCTCTTCTGAAAATAGTCAATAGAGTTGCTTGCATGTGTGTCTTCACGGTGTTAGCGATTTGTGTACATTTGGTCAGTACTCAACAGTCCTAGCCATATCTGTAGTACCTGAAGGATGCTCCAGGTCCGGAGAGAGCAGTGGAGGCATGTTAGCAGGTTGTACGTGTGTTATATGACAGGATTATTCCCCAATCCTTCATCCCTTCCTTCAAGGATGCCAGGTTTGCCTTATGATGCAAGTCTCAGAGATGAGTAATAAGAAGAAACCACCCAGCAGGATGTTCTTTTGGGGTTTTACAAAGGAAAGCTGGAGTTATCAACTCCTCAGGTAACAAAGGAACCAGCCCATGGTGAAAAATACAAAGACTACACGGTAGAGTTTAGTTTAAGTGACAGTCTGCAAGATGTCAGCCAAAGTCAACAGTACCTCTAAGGTTGGCTACGGGCAACTCTGGCCAGGGTTAGCAGGCAGCAGAGGAGCCAAAGTCTGAAGCTAATAAAGCAAAGGTCAATGGTAGACTGACTTCAGCTTATGGCTATCTCCCAACCTGGGCAAGAGTGTGGGATCATCTAGCTCTCTAGCTGGGCCAAGGGGACATGCCAGGACTCCAAGTGGCTTGGCCCTTGATAGGTCCAGGAAATGAACCAATCTTAGTAAAAATGACCTCAGTTCCTGCCATCCAGTTCTGTCTAGTTCTTGCTGTTGGTCCTATGAAAAGCCCCCTAGGCAAGTAGCTCCGTGATTTTTTTCCCCCTCTTGGGACCCTTCCTACTCTTAGGAATTTCTCTCATGTTAACTTTTCCTTAACAAAATCTTCTCTTGCTTGCTCCTGTGTTTGTCCATGTCACTAATCGTCATTGACATGAGACGATGAACTTGAGAGTCCCAGTCGACTTTTGGTGATCTGAGTCCTTGAGCGGCCTGAGTCAGTGAGGCCTGAGGAAGGCCCATTGTTCTCTGTATCAGCAGTAAGTACACCAAGCCATCTCATCAGCTCTCTCCCTCATTTTTTTGAGACAAGTTCTCTCACTCAATCTGTAGTCCATTGACTGTGACCCTTCCTGGCCCCAGGGAGTGTCAGCCTATATTGGTCCACAAGGACAAAGAGAGCAGAGACGACAGATAGAGGGGTTCAGAAGCTCTGAGTACTTACAGTAATGACAACACATGGGGACCAGCTTCAGGGAGGCAGATCAACTTTACTTGGGGTGATTCAAAGCATACATAATTTTGGGGACAGGCATCAGAATATCCAGGATGGGCAAAGATCATTGGCTGAAGGTGTAAGGTACTGAGATACCTCATTAGCATGAGGAGGCATTCCAGAATCTCAGGTGCTAGCTGAATGGGTTCTTATCAGGAGAAAGAAAATTGAATCTGTAATCTTAACCAAGGCTATGTGACATTCTATAGGTGGAGATGTGTGTGTGTAGGGGGGATGGTTGGGGGGGGAGGGTTGAGATCTCCAGACAAGGTCAGAGAAGGGGAAGCCCTGCTAGTACAGGGAGTCCTCTGTATAGCGCTGAGCTCAGAAGGCTATCCGGTTAGTGGTAGATGTTAACCTTAATTATCAGGGTTTCCCCACAATTGATTCAGGAAGACTTGCTCAGCCAGCAAACCCAGGGTATCCTTACATCGCTGCCTCTCCCATGTTGCAGGCGTGTGCTACTGTGTCTGCCTTCTTACATCAGTGCTCAGGATCTGAACTCAGGACCACACGCTTGCAATGCAAGCACTTTACTGACGAAGCCACCTTTCCTGGTCCCTAGAATTTTTTGAGCAGTCGCTAACTCATAGTCTTCATGCTGGGCTGAACTGGTGACAGGGAGAGTCAGCAAGAGCATCATGGACCACAGAAATGAAGATGCAGCAGCAGAAGGCAGGAACTGGGGCCTATGTGGCTCAGGATCGCAGTAGGAGTGGATGGAGAAATGGTGGAGAGTTCAGATTGTAGAGGCAAAGGCCAACAGGAGTCAAGCACAGAGCAGCAGGTTCTGACTGCCAGAAGAGTCCAGAAGCCCTGCTGCCACTGTGTCCTATCTGATTAAACTACCATTCCTATGAAACACAGCCTGTAGCTCCCAAAAGAGCAAGGACATTCAGGGTTAAACCCAGCTCTGTGCAGCTGTTGTGTGAGTCCCGAGCCTCCTGCCCTCCTCCACATCCTTCAGTTTCTACATTTCTCTAACTGGTGGGCCCCCATAAATCTGTTTTCTGTCAGGAGCCTGCTGTCCAGATCATAGGCATCCTGGTACCTGAGCTGAGCCCGAGACCACTTGGTGATCCCGTCGGAGGGATTATCCATCCTGTCTTGTGTTTAATGCAGATGGAGAGAGACAGACAGACAGGAACCTGCCTGCAAGGTCAGGTTTCTGGACTCAGGGCTGGGGATGACATCTACCTTCCCTGAGTTCATCCCTAGGATGAGGCACTTATCCCTCTTTCCCCGGGTAACATCGTGAAGATGAGGAGAGAGAGGAGTGAAGAGGCTCAACTTACCAAATTTGAACCGGACCCAGATGGCCTTGGCTGTTCTGAGATGCAGTTGGCAGTTGCACTTACTTCTGAGTCATAAGGTCAAGCAGCCTGCAGCCTTATGTTCTCAACTGGGAAATGGAAACTGAAACTTTCACGGTCCAGGTGACCAAGAAATCAACACACTGGAATGGGCACTGTAGGGTGCCACCCAGAATGCCACCCACTTTGCCAACTCAAAAGAGTGACCTTAGGTCAATATTGCAAATTTTGCTTTGACCAACCCAGCTTGGGCAGGGCTTCCAATGGTGGTAAGACTCACCACCACTAACTGTGAAGCCCTCCCCTGATCACTTCCAGTACCACCTGCTCTGCCAAGTCCCCACAGTCCCCTAGCACACCACCATCCCATCCTCTTGTGCAGTTCAGGAGAACATCTCTGTCCCTGTTGGT